AGAAAGATGAGGCTTTCTGCTCCCGTAAAGATTTACAGCCTCGGAAACCCTATGCAGGGTCGCTATGAGTTGGAACCGACTCCACGGCACATAACCACCACCATCACTCTAGTTGCTAATCACCCTCACCACTAATGCCACATCTCAGAAGTACCCATGGTGACAGGGACATATAGACCTAGGTGCCCACCGGTGTCTTGATGTCTGATTTCTTCTGCGTTTAAGGGTTGACTCCTAAAATCCTGCCTTTCCCATTATTGGATTCTGTCTACTTACAATTTCTCTCAGCCATCACTTTCATATTCTCCAGACTAAGTCGCTGTCTGGCTGTCCAACAGAAGAAATTCCCCCTGGTCTCTTCTGGGACTGTGGAACCTCTTGCACTGGCTGTCAGTTTAACTCTGTTCTGTTGATGTGGGGAAACCATGTTATTTCTCCAGTTTCCTCAAACCCTGAAAGAACAGTTCAATAAAACCAAATTCAACAGAAAAGTGAATTGAACACTACTGCCACTGGGTTGGAGAGAACAAATGAGTTTAGAATCCACAGACCTGGGCTGAAATTTCAGTTCTGCTACTTTTGAAATATGGCCTTAGAGCAAAAAACCAGTAAATGTTTAGTGCTTCAGATTCCTTTTCTGTAAAAACAAGATTACGAAGATTAGATAAAATAACTCTTTTTAAGATGACTGCAGGCCAGAATCTAGCAGTACTTAAACTTCTGATGGTGGCTTTCCTGACTAGAGCCTCTTCTACAAAGATATCAAATTCGTGGGTCCCAATTCTGTCTACATTTCTATAAGTAGCAATCGATATTTAATGACATGGTATGGGCCAAGTGGAGTCCTGGTGTGGCGCTGAGGGTTAATGCGCCAAACTGCAAAGCCGTTTGAACTGCAAGGTCAGCAGTTCAAGCTCACCAGCTACTCCTCAGAAACCATATATAGAGTTGCTATGGGTCGCAACCGACTCAACGGCACTTAACAACAACTGGTCAAAGTACTTTTCATGAGTCAGTTAATTTAACCCTCATTTGAGGACTACAAAGGAGCTTTGGTGTTGTTGTAAGATAAGCACAGGACTGCTAACCACAAGGTCGGCAGTTCAAACCCACCAGCTGGCCCTTGGGAGAAAAACGGGACTGTCAGCTCCCGTAAAGATTTACGGCCTCGGAAACCCTATATGGAGTTCTGGTGTGGTGATGTAGGATAAGCACTGGAGCACAAGTCGCTTTGAACCTCAAGGCCAGCGCTTCAAATCCACCAGCAGTTCAAATCCACCAGCCACTCCTTGGAAATCCTGTACAGGGTTGTTATGAGTCGGAAACCTACTTGATGGCACTTAACAGCAACAACAAAGCCTATATATAGGGTCACTATGAGCTGAAATTAATGGCAGTGAGTATGAGGAATTCTATGAATGATAATATCATCCTCCTCCCCCCTTATTGGTGTAAAAGTTGAGGTTCCGAGAGGTTAAGTCACTTGTTCATAGGAAGTGCCGTTGCTGAGTTTTGTAACAGCTCTTGCAATATACTTCTGCTGCCCTCGTTCTCCACTGCTAATCCCTGCTGCCTCCTAGCTAGGTAGGTGATTTCAGTTTCAATAAGTAACCTAGCTCCGAAATATGTTGTCTGAGTTTTTTGAAATCATTTCTAGAGACCACCTAATACCATAATTCTATCTCAAATAATTTCTGTCTTTGTGGGGGGTGAGGGTGGGAGGGGGGAGGTTCTTCTCTGTCTTGAGTGTCCAGGACTCTTAAGATTAAAAGGCCAAACGGGTTTTTGGTGTTTTTTTTTTTAACCGTTTGGTCTTTTTATTTTAGAACTTGACGCCTACCTTAATCTTTTGGTCTGTAGCTGTTGCTCATGCCCACAGGAAAACTTTACTTGAGAGGCCAAAATGATAGTTAAAAAGGAGTGTGTAGTGTTTATTTTTTTCAAGGATAATAAGTTATGATAGAAGCTATTGGTTCACCTTAAATCTTTGAACCAGTCCAAGGGGTTTTCCTCCTGGGGATGATGCTGAGTTCACCTGGGCAAATTAGTTTATTGAATACTCTCTTCTGTTTCAAGCTACCGAATTCTGATTCCGCTGTTCTGCCATATACCTTTAAAAATAAGCTTTTGGTTCTGAAATGAATGATTCCATTTCAGGTAGAATTCTTATGCTTATTTTTAGCCCTTCTGCCTACTACATAGTGGATTTTCAGTACATGTTTGTGGAGTTGACTTGAACTCCTGCAGTTTCTCTGTTTTATGAGGGTTTTTTTTAACGATTCAATCTCGTGAAAACTTTTCTGTTAATGTGAGATTATATTGGTTTATGTTGGTTTTCCTCAAAATAAGCTCTTCTCCTTGACCGTTGCTTCATAAGCCTTTTTAGCAAGTTTCTGGTCTCTCTCTGGGTTTACCTGGCTCTCTGATTGAATTCTGAATTTTCCAGGGTGAAAAAGGCCTACTCGGTTTTCTCCAATCACTTTAAAATGTAAACGTCTGCAAATTAGGCAAACAAGATCATAACAGAAAGACAGTATTGTTACTTTTATTTCCTTTATTCTTCTACTCATATCTAGGAGCTCTGGTGGCATAGTGGTTAAAGTGCTTGACCATGAGCCAAAAGGTCAATGGCTTGAACCCACTAGCTGCTCCGTGGGAGAAAGATGTGGCTTCTGTAAAGATTTACAGCCTTGGAAACTATATGTTGTTGTTAAGTGCCATCAAGTTGGTTCCGACTCATAGCAACCCTGTTTAGGGTTTTTAAGGAGCGGCTGTTGGGTTTGAACTGCCAACCTTGTAGTTAGCAGTCTAGTGCTTGTACCATACCAGGACCTCTCTAGGGTGGTTGCTATGAGTAGGAATCAACTATTTGGCAGTGGGTGGTTTTAGTTCTGTTTAAGCAGTTCCTTCCCTCAGACTATCCCCTTCAGAATGAACATATTTGGGGGTGGGGGGGAAAGAAGCGAAAACAATGGTGGTAGCAGTTGTGTGCCACCAAATCATTTCTGACTCATAGTGGCCTTGTATAGGGTTTCTGAGGCTGTAAATCTTTACACGAGCAGAAATCCTCTCCTTTTCTCCCACAGAGCAGCTGGTAGATTCAAACTGCCGACCTTGTGGTTAGCAGCCCAGCTTGTAATCCACTGTGTTACCAGTGCTTCCTAGCTAAAACAGTAACTCTCCCCAAAGACAACGCATTAGAAATCAGAACCTTCCAAACATATTTTTAACATCCAAAGTTGATCAGTCACCACAAGCAGAATGTGGGACCTTATCCAGAGAAGCAGCGACACCAGAGATGGAGGCAGAGATGGGGACATGGAGAGAGGGAGCAGCTGAGGACTCTAGATTCATGGGAAGAGAGGGACTGAGAGCTGGCAGCCAGGAGGTAGACTTGCAGAAAGTGTCCTTTGGTGGTGTAAATTATTATATATTCCTGAGTGTTTTTTTTTCTGTTTGTTTTTAAAGAGCTAAAAGAAATAGATGGTACATGGAGGGAATTATAATCATTGTAATGAAACAAAGTATATGACTTAATGAATGTAAAATTGATGATCTGCCCTGTAAACTTTCATTCAATTCACAATAAAAACTTAAAAAAAAAAAATTCATCAGGCGTATATAAAAATTAGCCTGTGTTCATAGTTTCATTAAACTAGTTCATTTACTCAACAAATATTTATTGAACACCTATAGACAGGAGACAAAACTGACTATATAATAAGGCCTTTGCTTTCAAGGAGCTCAAATCAGTAAGGGGAAATAAATACAGCTAGAACAGAGGATTCCTGGTGTGGTGCTGTAGGATCAACACTGGACTGCGAACCACAAGATCAGCAGTTCAAACCCACCAGCTACACCTCAGAAACCCTGTACAGGGTTACTATGAGATGGAATCAACTTGGCGGCACTTACCAACAACACAACATAACAGTGTAATAAAATATATAATTAACAGGCTGAACTAGAAGGACAAGCAAAGAAGAACGAGGCTACTGGTTCTGCTTGGGAATCTGGGGAACACTTCATAAAGGAGGTGATGTTTGAGTGGGGCCTTGGAAGAAAAGTAGACATTCTCCAAGGGGAAAAAAATGAGAGGACCATTTCTGGCAAAAAGAACCCCCTGGTGAGTGCTTGACTTTAGGGAAGCGATGTTCAGAATGGCTGTTTTATCACGATCAGACCTTGAAGGAACCCCGGTGGCACAGTGGGTTAAGCCTTGGTCTGCTAACCACAAGGTCAGTGGTTCAAAGTCACCAGCTAATCTGCATGGAAGGATGAGGCTGGCTGCTCTGTAAAGATTTACCGTCTCGGAAATGCTTAGGAGCAGTTTTATCCTGTCCTGTAGGCTCACTATGGAGTCCTGGGGTGGCGCTGTGGGCTAATGCGTCAGACTGCAGAGCCGTTTGAACTGCAAGGTCAGTGGTTCAAGCTCACTAGCTGCTCCTTGGAAGCCCTATACAGGATCACTACGGGTCGGAATTGACCCGATGGCACTTAACAACAACAACAACAACATAGGGTCACTAAGGAGCGCAGTGGTTACAAATCGGGCTGCGAATTAAGGTCAGCAGTTCGAAACTACCAGCGGTTCTGCGGGAGACAGATGAGGCTCTCTGCTCCCATAAAGATTTACAGCCCCGGAAACTCTGTACAGGGTCGCTATGAGTCGGAGCCGACTCCACAGCACAGAACAACAACAACATAGGGTCACTCTGAGTTAGAATTGATTTGATGGCAGTGGCTGGGAAGGATGACTAATAAACTAAAATGAATATTTTAGGAGTATGTATGGATTTTAGAAGGCTTGTATTTCAGCCTAGGGAGCCAAGTTCAGTAATCCCTACTAAGAAATATCCGCTTGAAGTCAGAAACCGCAGTAAGCACAGGAGACGTGAAGTCAGTCTGTTATATTCTTTCTGCTCCGTGACCCATCTGGCTGGCTGGGCCCCTCCTCTTCTCCCTGAACCTACATGCTCGCTCGTTTGAAGAAACAGAACCCTTCTTTAGGAGAAAGCATGGAAACGCTACCATGGATTTTCTAGTTCATTCATCCAACAAATATGAGCGACTTCTGTGTGCCAGGCATTGTGCTAGATGCTGGCAATATTGTGGTGAAAAGACAGACGTAGTCCCTGCCTTCATGGAGTTTACATCTAACTGTTAGTTCTTCACCCAGGTGTGCAAACTCTGGAAGTCACGTTCTTAAGATTGTAAGCTGTTTTTTGGACATACACTGGTATGTGTTTTTTGATGGCATATGTAAGGAGCTCTGGTAGCGTAGTGGTTATGAATCGGGCTGCAAACCACAAGGTCAGCAGTTCGAAACTACCACCTGTTCCACGGGAGAAAGATGAGGCTTTCTGCTCCCGTAAAGATTTACAGCCTCGGAAACCCTGTACAGGTTCGCTATGTGTCGGAACCGACTCCACGGTGCATAACAACAACAACAACGTAGGACATTGTGGATATTCAGATACCGATCACCATTCCCATCCTTTTAGTAACTAGAGCAGTATCTAGATCTCATAATGCTTAGGTCCAGGGAACGAACTACAGCAAGTCTAATAAATACAGATTAGATTTCTATAACAAGACAGCACTGTAGTTGGTTGCTAAATGTTTGGGCTTTTCAATAAACTGTTCGTTGATCCATTCTTCTGTTTCCTAGGTTAATAATCCAGTTGCACGAAAAGGAACAGCATGTTCAAGATATCATTCCTATAAATAGCCACTTTAGATGTGTTCAAGGTACTAGCTTTAATTGCTTACCTAATTTTATAATGTTTTCTTTGGTCAGTATCACTCTGTATAATACCATGCATATTGAAAATGTATTATTGTAAGTAAAATGGAATATATTACTTTTTACATGAAAAGATAACGTTATTATCTACCACTAAGACATTGATAATGCTTTGTCTTCGAGTACTGGAGGGTTATTTTATAAGCTATATTATGTTCTCACCTATTTTTCTGGCTGGGATTGGAGATGTATGAAGTCTCTTACCTATGTATATGTATATATATATAGTCTTTAATGCTGAATGACTTCTGTCTGGCTTTGAGTGACTTCTTTATTGGATTTACCAGACATACTGCTCATTGTAAAGTATCAAGGTCACCTGGATTCACCCACATTTAGCACTTTTCTTCCTACACTATGAAATTAAAACATTTGACAACAAGCCTTGCCAAATTCTAATACTAACTTTGACATTGGTGAATCATAAGAATATCAACTCCAGGGAAGAAATCTTGGGCATCCTGCCCTCAGATTTGGAGACCAAGAACAGAGAGTCTGTAGTTTCATCTGCTGTGATGAGATTCAAAAATTGTGAAGTGTGTGTAGGAGGTATTGCTTCTGTCATCTCAAATGGCTCTAGAAAGGAAATTGATTACTCAAGAACAAATGCATTGTGTTCCCAGTGGGTCCATGGGCTTCATCAGGCAAAAATATTGGGGATCAATTGTAGCTTCTTGGAAAACCCAAGGAAAGGCTTAAGAAAATCATCATTGAATCTGTTAAGAGTGGCCTATAGTTTAATTAGTTGCCTGTGTTTGACACTGAGGTTTTTCCTTATTTTTCATCTCTGTACAGAAATCTTCCTGCCCATCTCTTATTTCCTTAGGATATATGCTAAGTCAGAGGATCTGTTTTTGTTTGTTGTTAAGACAGCATGTATTAAGAATGAAAAAGATCTGTGATGAATGATATCCACATTGTGTAGAAGAATGAAGTTAGAGTTATTAAGCTTGCCATGTGTGAAAGAATTTTAGACAAGGCACCTGCATGCCTTTACTTAAGTTGCTGTGGTCACCTCATTTCTGTAGCACCCTTGATTACATACTCAGTGCTTTATGGAGAAGAAAAGCCAAAGAGCATGACTTCAGACAAGTACCACTTGTAGGGTAGTCGTATCACTTGTAGGGTCGTGTTGACCCTAATTCTCTTAGTATTGTTTTAAATTAGAAGTAGACAGCAGATGCGCCCAGTAGATGGTGAGCCTGCTTCTTGGAAATCTTGGGAAATCTGTGTTCAGGCACACAAGAGCTTTCCATGAGGAAAGGAACAATACCCTGACTGTTGACCCTTCCTTTTTCTGAGCTGTACATCAGTTTAGAAAATTATAAACATTCAAGTGTTACAGAACTCAAAGTTACTGGTGCCCTGTGTTCCCTGGACTCACTATCCTGGTAGTTGTACCGAGAGTATTCTCTTGTATTAGTCATCTCAGTTCTTCACCACTTGGCTTCTATTGTATCCGAATAATGAAGCCAAACAGATGAGCAGAAGTCAAAAAGTATTGCTACTTGGGCTCCAGTTCATACATGCAGAGGTTTATTCCAAGCAAAAAGTGTTTAAACATGTCTCTGCCATCAGTGGATGACTGCCAGACAAGCTCTCTCAAGAATACACTTGTCTTAGTCTCGTTAGGGTGCCTTTGTGAAAAAGATCCAATAAAGCAGTGGCTTCCGAGAGGATCTGCTGGGTCAGTTCAATTCAAAGCAGAGAAGTCAGCTCAGAAGGTTATGGCAACTGTGCTTTGGAGATTCCTAAGGGGTCATCTTGATAGGTGTCCTCAAATGGCACAGGGCGATTGTAGGAGCCTATTACGTGGAGAAGTGTTAGAAAACTGAAAAGTGCATTGGTGAGAAAAAGGGCAGGAAAGTTGTGTGGAGGAAATTCATCACAACAATGCACTTGCTCATTTTTGTTGGGTAGCAAGGACTGTCCTACAGGAATTTCGCTGGGAAGTCTTACCCCACCCACTCTACAGCCCTGGTCTTCCCCCTACAGATGTCTTTTCTTTTTGTTCCTCAAACTCAACACTGAAAAGGAACATGATTTGAGTCCCTCAAGGATACCAAAACCTGACATTTTGACCTGGTGGAAGTGGACGCGCACAGGATTCTTTGGGGAAGGGTATAGACCTAGACGTGTATAGACCTAGAGTTGAATAGACCTATAAGTGTGTAGACCTAGATGGAGGGTATGTCAAGAAACAAGAGATTCCTATTTTGATGTTTTTTGTTTAATAAAGGTTTCACAGGTGTTAACTGTAACCTAAATTCAGTCAGACAACTTCAGGTATCTACTCTTTTATTCCAGGCAGGGGCAGATACTGAGACCACTGGGAAATTTCAGAGATGAGAGCTCTGGTAGCATAGTAGTTATGAATTGGGCTGCTAACCTCAGGGTCAGCAGTTCGAAACTATCAGCTGTTCTGCAGGAGAAAGATGAGACTTTCTGCTTCTGTAAAGATTTACAGCCTCAGAAACCCTGTACAGGGTTGCTATGAGTCAGAACCGACTCCACGGCACATAACCCCCACCACTAGAACTGAATTAAGAAAGCAGTTCACTTCTGGGTCTTTAGGGTCACTTCCTAGGTCTTCTTTAATAAGTATCTAAATGGAACAGTTAGATCATCTTAGCTTGTTTTGTTAGAGTTGAGGGGAATTCTAAACATGCTGTTATGTTCCCTGTTGTTGTTAGGTGCCATCGAGTTGGTACCGACTCATAGTGACCTTATGCACAGCAGAACGAAACACTACCCGATCCTGGGCCAACCTCACTATTGTTGCCATGCTTGAGTCCATCTCGCTGGGGGTCTTCCTCTTTTTCTCTGACCCTCCACCCTACCAAACATGATATCCTTTCTCCAGCGACTGGTCCCTCCTGACAATATATCCGAAGTATGAGAGACGAAGTTTGGCCATCCTGGCCTCCAAGGAACACTCTGGCTGCACTTCTTCCAACACGGATCTGTTGGTTCTTTTGGCAGCCCATGGCACTTTCAATATTCTCCTCCAACACCATAACTCAAATGCTTTAATTCTTTTACGGTCTTCCTTATTTACTGTCCAGCTTTCGCATGCATATGAGGTTATTAAAAATACCATGGATTGGGTCAGGCACACCTTAGTCCTCAAGCTGACATCTTTGCTCTTCAACTCTTTAAAAAGGTCTTGTGCAGCAGATTTGCCTAATGCAATACATCCATTGATTTCTTGACTGCTGCTATCGTGAGTGTTGATAGCTGATCCAAGAAGAATGAAGTCCTTGACAACTTCAATCTTTTCTCTATTGATAAGAATGTTGTTTATTGATACAGTGGTGAGGATTTTTGTTTTCTTGACATTGAGATATGTAATCCATACCGAAGGCTGTGCTCTTTGATCTTCATCAGTAAATGTTTTGTTCCCATAGTTATGTTCCCTACTTACTATTAATTTGTCATTCCGTTTACTTTGAGGAGTTCTATTTGATTACTGGAGTCTTGGTGTAGTGCTGTAGGACAAGCACTGGACTATTAACCACAAGGTCGGTGGTTCACACCCATCAGCCACTTCTTGGAAACCCTCTACAAGGTCGCTATGAGTTGGAACCAACTCAATAGCACTTAACAACAGTAAGAATTTGATTACTAAAGGATCCCTGGTGGCTCAGTTGCTAACCAAAAGATCAGTGGTTTGAGCTCAACCACCAGCTGCTCTGCTGAAAAAAACATTGCAGTTGGTATCTGTAAAGGTTGTTGTTGTTGTGTGCCGTCGAGTCACTTCCGACCCATAGCGACCCTGTATAGGGCTTCTGAGGAATGACTGGTAGGGTTTTTAACTGCTGGTCTTGCGGTTAGTAGTTCTGTGCTTATCCTACAGTGCCATACTGTAAAGACTACTGCCTTAGAAACCCTGTGGGGCAGCTCTGATCTGTCCTCTAGGTTGGAATCGATTCAACAACAATGGGTATTTGATTACTTGTTCAATTCATTTTCCTTTTACTTGAATTGCTCATAATGTTTAGAGTATGAAGTATTTAAATCCTTTTTGAAAAAATGCTAAAGAAAGAAGCAAAGACTGTTTGTTATTGAATGTACTTTAAGGCCTAAGAGTGGTGACTAAGAAAGCAGTTATTTAGTTAGGCATATAATTTTTTTGGTTGTAATGAATGGTTTTCTCTTTCCTGATCCCGTTCTGTTTTTCCTCCACAGAAGCGGAAGAAACTCTTTTGATTGACATAGCATCAAACAGTGAGTATCTTTCTGAATGGAGTTGAATTTCATTCAACAGATATTTACTTAAATACCCACTATATTTGAAACACCTTTTTTGGGCACATATTTTACCATATTCTATATTAGTATTCATTTTTTTAAATGCAGCCCATACAAATTAACATTGGGAGGAATGCTAGAAAAGCTTTTAAGGTGGCAAGAATCTTTATAAAAATTGAAAACATGCTCTGCTTTTCTAAGGCTGAACTTCTTTAAGCTGTCAGTATTGTTGCTCTCAGGTAAATCGTTAATTGTGGAATTGATCATTGTGGGAAGGGTGCGTAAAATGTTTAAAGCCTATGAGGTTTATGGATTGCGTTGTGGTTCTTTTTTAACTGCTGTTCATGTTTTAGGCTTTTATTTACCGTACTATTTTTGTTTTCCATTATTTATTGTTTTGAAAGGCTGCATAGCCCATTAAATTGCTTGTCCTCAGCAAACCTGTTTTTCAGAAAATATGTTTCATCTTTTTTTTATGTCTCGTCCCTTCAAGGCATCTGATTCTTTATCAGAGGGAACATGGTCTTCCTTCTTACCATCTCTGTTCTCATTTTATCTGTTTGAAGCAAATCAGTGACTTTCTGTGCAAGCTGTTCTTTGTTTATCATCAAATTGTGCTGTGTTATGGAGAAGAGAAAATGGGCATTTGGCTACCGTGACTACTCTGAGGTTACTATGGAAAATAGTTATCTGAGTGCATGAATTTCAAGCACATAGGTGGCCTTATCAGCTTACACTAGGATGACTGGGGCTTGGCACTTACCTAGGGCTGTGGACTAGACATAATGTTGTTTAAACAGAGTTCCTGCCATTAGCACCATCAATTTCCATTGACCTATTTAAATCCTCTTTTTCTGGTTCTGGTTTTATTATTCTTTTCTTTGGCCATGGATTTTAGAAGCTGTAAGGGCTGATCCTGAAAGGCTAAGTAAACCCAGCTGCTGGCTCCTACTGCAGATATCCAGGAGAGAAAATAGCTTAATATCTAGTATATCCTATTGTGCTTAGAAGGGAGAAGGGAAAATAGCACGAAAAATGCCAAATTAGAGTAGGGACAGGTCAGCAGCAACATACATTGTTGCTGAAGCGAGGGTACAGAAATACCCTGTTCTCACTGTGCAAGTAGGTATTAGGTCCAAAGCTGAAGGCACTGAGCTGGGCCTGCACTCTTACATACACCGCATTGACAGCATTAGTTTTATTGTCGCCTCTCCTACATTAGAGAAATTAACCACGCACTGCTGGGACCAGAGTCCAAATGCTGGGTCCTAGGGGAAGCCATGGTAAGTGACCACTTGCGTAAAATCCTTTGTAATTTCTGCTCATTTACACCGAAACTAAAAAGGAGCTCTGGTGGCGCAGTGGTTAAATTGGTGGACTGCCAACTGAAAGGTCAGCGGTTGGACCCTTGCAGCTGCTCTGTGGGAGAAAGATGAGGCAGTGTAATTTGGTAAAGCTTACACCTTATCTGCTCAGCTGCCCTGTAGGTTGCTATGATTTATAACAGATTGAATGGTAGTGGGTTTGGCTCTGAAAGTAGATTTGATCTGGATCCGTAAGTTTTATATATAAACCTTTAGGGCACACAGTGTATTGCAGCTGGAGGACCTTGAGGTTCTATGGCAGGCCTGATTTTACTGGAAACTGGTGTTTTCTCATTGTTTCCATATTAGTAGTCAATGTTTTAAAATGTGTTTTTTTCTGATTATGAAGGTATTACATCTTCATTATATGCAGGGTTTTTTTAGGTTCAGTACTTTATGGTGGGTTTTGCCTGTTTATTTGCTGCTATTGTGAGTAGAATATTTTTTTCTGTTATATTCTAACTACTTACTATTTGCTCACAGAGAAGCTATTGTGTTTTAGATGTTTATCTTTTATCCAGCCACTTCACTGAAATTTATTTTGAATTCTTTGTTTTCTGGTTTGGGTAGGCATCGCTAATCATCTATCAATTATAGTTTGTTTGTTTTAGAGTAGCTCTAGTTACTGCTTTTACTTCATACCAATGAGAATGCTGGGACCAGTTAGCTCCTGATTTTAGTGAGAAAGCCTCAAATGTTTTGCTGTTAAGGATGGTGGTGGTGGTGGTGGTTATATGCTGACTTACAGTGACTCTGTATAGGGTTTCTGAGGCTGTAAATTTTTTCGGGAGCAGAAAGCCTCATCTTTCTCCTGTGGAGTGGCTGGTAGATTTGAACTACTGACCTTGAGCTTAGCAGCCCAGCTTGTAATCCATTATTCTACCAGGACTCCTTGTTAAGGGTGTTGTTACCTGTTAATTTAGGAGTTTTGTTTCACCGTATTAGGGCAGTGCATCTATTTCAAGTTTGTATGGTTTTTTAAAATCATGACTGACTGTTGACTTTTATGAAATGTGATTTCAGTATTTGTGGAAATGGTTATATTGGTCTTCCATATTTGACCTATTGATTGACTATATTGTATGAATTCCTAATATTAAATCCTCCCTAGTGTATTCATTTTGGAGTCCTGGTGTAGTGCTTGTAGGATAAGCACTGGGACCGCTAACTGCAAGATCAGCCGTTCCAACCCACCAGCCATCCCTCAGAAACCAGAACCCAGAACCCACTCAGTGGCACACAAGAACAACAGCGTATTCACGATTCAGCAAGTATTCATTGAGTGCCTTCTATTTGCCAGGCCTTGTTCTAAGTCCTTGGAACCTTGGAGAACACCAGTGCTGCCCCTGCTCTGGTTCCTGCTAACTAGAGTCACAGGTTGTTGCTGCTGTTAAGTGCTGTTGAGTCGGCTCCGACTCATAACGACCCTAGATGCGTTTTCCGAGGAGTGGCTGGTGGGTTTAACTTTCAGTTAGCAGTCCAGTGCTTATCCTACAGCATCACACCTGGACTTCCCTCTATGCCTGTAATCCATTCTATGATAGCATGAACACTTTTTCTGTACCAGGGGCTGTATGAGTGTATCAGACAGAAAACAATATAGTCCTGGAACTTAGTACCTGCAGTGGGCTGTAACCCAGTAAGGTGGAGATCATTATATCATTGCCGTTTTGATGAATGCTTTCAAGGTGTGGGGCTGCTAACCACAGGGCTGGCGATTCAAACCCACCAGCCGCCCCACAGGCTATCTGCTCCCATACAGATCTACAGTCTCGGAAACCCTACATAAGGTCGCTGGGAGTCAGAACTGACTTGATGACAGTGGGTTTTGGGGTGAATTTTCAAGAAAGTACCAACAGTGTGTTAGAGGGGTAACTAGATTCAACAGGGGGATCGGGGAAGGCCTCTTTGAGGACGAGACATGTTAAAGTGAGAGAGGAGGGACTAAGGAAAAGTTAAATGAAGATGTGGGACAGAAAAGTATTCCAGGTAAAGGGAACCACATGTGTAAAGACCCAAAGTTATGAAGCTGTTGTTGGGTGCTGCTTGAATTCATTTTTACTCATAGCGACACCATATGACAGGGAAGAATGTCCCCATAGGATTTTCCAAGCTGTAACAGTGTGGCTCTGTAGGATAAGCACTGAATTGCAAGCCACAAGGTTGGCAGTTCAAACCTATACCATCTGCTCCTCGGAAACCCTATCTATACAGGGTTGCTATGAGTCGAAAATGACTCCACGGCACTTAACAACAACGATGGTGTGGAGCTGTAAACTAAGCTGACTCCAAGATTAGCGGTTCAAACCCACCAGCTGCTCTTATGTAAGAAAGATGAGGCTTTCAGGTCCTGTAAAGATTGACAGCCTGGGAAACCCTCTTCGGGGTCTCTCTGAGTTGGAATCAACTTGATGATAGTGGGTGTGGTTTCCTGGTGTGACGCAGTGGGTTAATGCGCTGGACTGCAAAGTCGGTTTGAGCCGCAAGGTCAGCAGTTCAAGCTCACCAGCTACTCCTTAGAAGCCCTGTATAGGGTCGCTATGGGTCAGAACCGACTTGATGGCACTAAACAACAACAACAACAATCCAGTATAGTGGACTCCTGGTGTGCCACTGTAGGATCAGCACTGGACTTCGAACCACAAGGTCAGCAGTTCAAACCCACCAGCTATTCCTTGGTAACCCGATACAGCAGGGATGGGAAGCCTTTTTTTCTGCAAAAATTTATAACATCATTCATGGGCCATACAAAATTATCAACTTAAAAACTGGTTAATGTGCTAGACTGCAAAGTCAGTTTGAACCGCAAGGTTGGGTCAGAACTGACTTGACAGCATTTAACAACATATTTGGTCAAACATTTAATTAACTCACCCCTTATGAATCGGGCTGTGAACTGCAAGGTCAGCAGTTCAAAACTACCAGCTGTTCCGCGGGAGAAAGATGAGGCATTCTGCTCCCGTAAAGATTTACAGCCTTGGAAACCCTGTACAGGGTCGCTATCAGACGGAACCGACTCCATGGCACACAGCCACTAGCCACCAGTATGAAGGAGTCCTGGTGTGGTGCTGTGGGTTAATGCGCTGGACTGCAAGGTTGGTTTGAATTGTAAGGTTGGTGGTTCAAGCTCACCAGTCACTCCTTGGAAAACCTATACAGGGTCGCTATGAGTTGGAACTGACTCGATGGCACTTAACAATAACAACAATGTGAAGGCAGAGTCTTGGTGTGGCGCTGTAGGATAAAGCAGTGGGACCACAAGGTTAGTTTGAACCACAAGGATGGTGATTCAGACTCACCAGCCACTCCTTGGAAACCTTATACAGGGTCACTAGGAGTCAGAACTGATTTGACGGCACTTAACAACAACAACAACAACAATGTGATGGCTGCAACTGTGGTTGCTTTGACAGGGCCAGACCAAATGATTTCTCAGGCCTTATATGGCCCGTGGGCTAGACATTCCCCACCCCTGCTATACAGGGTCGCTGTGAGTTGGAAGCAACTCAAGGGCACATAACCACCACGCTCCCACCAGATGATTGAATGCTGATGGGAAGAAGCCCATGAAAGGGAAATGTTAAAGATTTTGGGAGGTGGGTCTGGGAATGAGTGTGAATGTTTGAGAATAAATAAGGAGGTATGAATTAGTTTCCGGATAGTAGGAGTATGTTGTTTTTAAGTAGGTTCTGACTCAGTGATCCTGTATAGGGTTTCCAAGGAGTGGCTGGGAGGTTTGAACCACTGACCTTGTAGTTAGCAGTCCAATGCTTAAAAAAACCAAACAAAACCCAACCCCACTGGCATCAAGTCAGTTCTGACTCACAGCAACCCTGCAGGGCAGAGAAACAGGCGGCTTTCTGCTCCCAAAAAGATGGTGCGCTTCCGAAACCCTACAGGGGTCGCTCTGTGTGGGAATCGACTGGATGGCAGTGAGATTGGAGCCCTCCTAGGTGAAGGCTGTTTAGGGTCTCTCATACCCTATGTCATTTAAGGACACTGCCTGTCCCATAAGGTTCCCAAAGCTATGATCTTTATGGAAACCAGCTGCCACATCTTTCTCCCATGAAGCGGCTAGTGAGTGCTGAGTGTTTTAACCACTGTACCATCAGGGGTCCTTAAAAATAAGGACCCCCCCAAAAAAAACCATATTCACTGCCATCGAGTCAATTCCAACACATAGTGACCCTATAAAAGTTTTCCGAAGCTGTGAATCTTTACAGGAGCAGAAAGCCTCATCTTTCTTCCATGGAGTGGCTGGTGGGTTTTGAACTGTTGACCTTTTTGGTCTATAGTGACATCAGGACACCGACCTTAAGTGACATCGAGTGTGAGAGACTCTAAACAGCCCTTTCTCAAGAGGGCTACAAACTCTTTGCCCCCAAGTTGATCCCGACTCACAGCGACCTTCTGTAGGGTTTTCGAGGCTGTAAATCTTTATGGTAGCAAAAAACCTCCTCTTTGTCCTGAGGAGTGGCTGGTGAATCTCAACTGTTGACTTTGGGACTAGCAGCCCAACATATAACCCACTACGCCATCAGGACTCCTAAGAGGGCTCCAGGCGAATGCTTTCTCAGGGACCAGTAGGATCAGCTGTAAGATCAGGATCAGTTCCAACCCACCAACCGATCCTTGGAAACAGGCTTGCTGTGAATCAGAACTGACTCAACAGTACTTAACAACTAGAGCCCAGTTTCAGTTGACTCTGGTTTTCAATCTTGATGCACATTAGAATCACATGGGGTATGGTTTTTTAACAAATATCAGTGTCTGCACTCCACTTAATCCCTTCCCTCAAGATTCTGTTGTAATCGCCCTGGGCTGAGGCTCCAGGTGTATTTTCTTAAAACCCCTCTGGTGATTCCAGGGGTCCCTAGTTGAGAACCTCCGAGAAGGGGAGGGAGTAGTGGTCAGAGAAAGTAGAGGCCCAGAGGGTGTTGGGAGGGAAGGAGTTGAAGGTTGGGTCATGGAGTGGTTCATCCTCTTTCCCACAGTACTTGGGGAGATGTATCCAGTGTTACTTTGTCAGCAGTTTCTGAAATCTTTTGGCCATGAAATGGGTCCATTTCTGTGTATTTTTTATGTTTGCCAAATGTATCTTTTAAGGACTGTGGGAGGGAGGATATGTATTCTTGTTCTGAATTTCTATCAGCTAGCAACTGCTCTTTTTTTCACTACTTGTAATATAATTTATCTGAGAAAGGGAGAACTTTAACTATGCCCGGAAGGAATTTTCTCCTGTATCTTCAAGGCTACTTCTAATTGACATAGTCTTCATTCCCCTCCTCTCCCTTTTTCTCCCTCCTCATTAGTTTTCTTATGTCTGGTCCACTTTGTGTGCCTTCTTTTTCATTTCTTTCTCCATTTTTGTACCGAGTTTCTTCTTCTAACTGTCACTTTTATTTACCTTTTATTTATTTATTTTTAACACAAACATCAGGAAGTGCAAAGGGAGAAAAGATCGCCAAAGGTTCAGAAGTGCATTTCTCCCTTAAGAAGCTAGGGTTTACTTTATATTTTCTTATGACTCTTTATTTACAAGCATGATGAGTCTGGCCTCACTCTCACCAGTTGAGTGACAGTTGGCTTGCCTGGGGCTTTCCTAGGGTTCACACTGCAAGTACTGTCTCCTGGGAACCCCTCAGCCCCAGCCAAGCTGGCCTCACCTAGATCGTGGAAAGCGTAGTGTTGGCTCATCTGTGTGTGTGAGTCTACGTTTTGTGCTAAGGAGGGAGGCATGAGAAAGCAGTATATGTAAAAAATCAGTTAAAGTAATATAAACAAGGGTATAGGTAAGTCTTTTTGGATCACCACATCCAAATGATTGTTACAGATGATAGCTATGTGCCCTGCTCACAGCGGCCCAATATAGGCTTTCTGAGGCTGTAAGAACCTTATCTTTCTCCTGTGGTGCTGCGGGTGGGCTCGAACCCCCGATCTTGTTCGCAGTCCAGTGCTTATCCTACGATGCCACCGTGCTCCCAGAATGATAACTATAGGGCATCAGAAAAGGGGAGATAATGTTTTACACAGAAGACACTAAAGCTCTACGTAACTTGGCTTCTAATTAACAGTTTTCCAATTGGCTGTACTTGAACCAAAGAACTGGACATAGGTCATTATATTGCTTTGGTCAGTTTATTCTAGATTTTGTCACTTGTGGTAATGAGATGTAGAGGCTTCTCTTCAGAATAATGTGGAGCATTTCCATTAGTCATTGTTTTCAATTAGTTTGTAAATTCACTCACCCAGGTAAAACCTTTACCTGTGAACAAGCCACTGTACTTCCTTGATTCTTTCCATGCATCAGATACTCTTCATCCGTGATCTGGGTTTATAATGGCAGGCGTTCCCAGCCAAGGGGTACAGTGGGGATGGCTGGGGAATTTATCTCTCACTGGAATTTGGGGGTTCCTGCACTGATGTCTGTCTCGGTATGGACTGATCTCTACCTAAGGCGCTTTGAGGCTGCAGAAGGAGGTGGGCAACTCCCAGGGTGGCAGCAAGGCATTTATTAGGGGACTTACATCCAGAGGTTGGTCCCTGGTGGCAGCGAGACTCATCCATTTCTCCATGCCCTCCAGTAGGAGGCAGGGGCTTGATGCCATGGGTACCAGGACTTGGAACTCTGTGGCTACCCCATCAGAAGTTACATTTAGCATGTGGAAGTGGGTTATCAGAAAGCAAGGATGACCAGACTGGGCCTCACAAAGCCTGCTTGCCCTTCAACATCTGAGGGAGATCAAATGGAGGGAACTCTGGTTTCAATATGTATCTTATTACTAGATCAAGCTGCTCATTGATTTGTTTCATCGACCTGTAGGAGTGCTGACTTCTCACAGGTTTCCTTCCCAGCATCCTCTCCCCTGCCCCCTCCACACCGAATCCCGGGATCCTGTACTTAGGCGTCTTACTTTAGAGGTCTGACATATTTGTGATCTTGGCCACCTCCTATTAACCTGCTAAGTTGAAGATATCACAATAAAACACTGTGATTCATAGCTACCTGTGTGTGGATTTCAATTTTTTTTTAGGTGGCTGCAAAATTCGGATTCAGGGGGACTGGACCAGAGAGCGCCGCTTTGAAATCCCTGATGAAGAACTCTGCTTGAAGTTCCTCTCAGAGGTCCTTGCTGCTCAGAAAGGTAACTCATGCACGCCTCAGCAACTTTTTTTCTACAGTTCAAATAGGAGTGAAACCCTTACATATTGTGATACAAAGGCAACGGCCACGAGCAAAGTATTTTTCTTTTTTCTTCAGGGAATGAACCCAGGGTTAGATTAGCGAACAAGCCTCTTCAGCTTTAAGGACAATTTGAGCTACTTTCCAGAACCTTCAAGGTCATTTTCTTAGGCTCTTCCTCTGCAGTTAGGAATGGTGCTGGCCTCTGCATTTAAGGAGTATTCCATTAACGGCCGGCCTTTCGTTTTGATAAATTCTGCACCCAGTTTCTGACCATGACCTTTATCTCTCCAGCTCAGTTACAACTTCTTGTTCCAGAGCACAAGGACTCCTCCAGCTGGTACCAGAAACTAGACACTAAAGACAAACCTGGGTTGTCAGGTACTGAAAGAATTCTTTTTCCCTGGTTGCTATGATCATGCAGAGTCGATAGATTTCATCTGGGCAGATGAAACGACATGGGTGAATGGCAGTGTCGGGCACTTTCTCCTGTGGATTGGCACATTCTCCTGAGCCTTTCTGTGGCACATGAGATAATACTAGACGACATTGTGCTAAGTCTTCAGTAAATGCTACTTATTATTTTTTAACTCCCAGAATACTGGACCCTACTATTCTAGCTCTTAATGTCTGGGCTTTAGGAACAGATGTGCTTCCCCCCGGCCGGTTTAAGTTGTTACCACCTTTCTGACACCTTTCTGCTCAGTAATGCCGCTGGTAAAACTGTCAGCCCCATCTATCCTTGGATGTTGGTTTTGTATTTCCTCTCTTTGACTTTGGGCTCTGTGTCCTTCAGGGATTCTTGGATTTGAAGATAATTTTTCATCTATGAATTTGGACAAGAAAGTCAATTCACAAAACCAGCCTACAGGGACTCACCGAGAACCACCACCTCCACCTCCTTCTGTCAATAGAATGTAAGCTCCCGTCAGAAACACATTTCCCATGTAGGAGACGTATAGCTTAGGCACTTCCACAGTTGAATTCCTCATTGCTTTGTCAGGCTTCCACGGGAAAAAGAAGCCACTAACAAGGAGCAGCCCAAAGTGACCAACACCATGCGGAAACTCTTTGTACCAAGTAACCAGTCTGGGCAGCGGGAGGGTCTCATCAAACATATCCTGGCAAAGCGCGAGAAAGAATATGTCAACATTCAGACTTTCAGGTCAGTCTCTCTTCTACCTTACTGAGTAAACAGGTGGAGTAGAAAACAGCCTTTTGACATTTAAATTCTTAATTTAATTAAGAATCAAAGCTTGAAAAAAGGGGATGGCATCTGACTCAATCCCTTGTCTCCGTGCTTGTCAGTAACATTTATATCCAAACCTTGGACTTTCTCCCTACTCATAGTACCACACTTACTAGTGTTTCTGTCTCCACTTAGAAAACCAAATCAGCCTCACATGTACTAGAGGATTGTCCTAGGGCATATGCCATATGTTTATCTATCTGATTCCAGCAGATAACTGAAATGTCAAGCCCATCATCGCGACTAGGTCTTCATTTACTTTGATCAGTTAAGGAAAATTTCCCCTATTGTCTGCTTTTGATCAGGAGATCTCTATTTGTGAATAGGATGTGCCCTTCGAATTCAAGAGTCCAGTCCCACTGGACTCCAGTATGCTTCATGTTTTCCAATTCAATCACAACTATGCCAAGCCGTCCAGTTCCCTGTATTCCCTGTGAGGATACTATTTGTGTGTAAACAGCTAAAACAGTCATGAGGTTTCCCTTCCTTAACACAATATCTGCCTCATCTGAAGTTTCGACACAGACTTCCTTGTAATTCTTTAGGAAGTGAGTTTTTGGTTTCAGCTGCAGCTCCTTATAGAACAATTACCCATATGCAGCCAGCTTATAGATGAAGATAATGCTTTCCTGTCTCCAGGCTCTCCCTTCAACTATGAATATGATGGTCTTTCATTGAAATGTAGTAGAGCAGTTTGTGTTTTTTAAATAGAGATTTAGTTTCTTTCTGCAGATTTACTTAACATAAAATTTAGAAAAATAAGTGTTTTTTATTTGAGAAATTATATCATGAACTTGACTCTTATATAAGGAGCTCTGGTAGCATAGTGGTTATGAGTCGGGCTGCTTACCTCACGGTCAGCAGTTCGAAACTACCAGCAGTTCCATGGGAGAAAGATGAGACTTTCTGCTCCTGTAAAGATTTACAGCTTCGGAAACCCTATACAGGGTCACTATGAGTCGGAACTGACTCCACAGCACATAACCACCACCACTCTTATATGGAAGTGATAAGAGAGAACTATGTTGGTGCGTACTTGAACTTTGTCTTCAAAGTCTTTTTTTTTTTTTGGTATTATGTAATAGATTTTTTGTTGGAACTTGGAACGTGAATGGGCAGTCTCCAGACAGTGGATTAGAACCATGGCTCACCTGTGATTCGAATCCACCTGATATCTACTGCATTGGGTAAAGAGCACTTCTGGAATTTGCTTTTGACTATATGCTTGGTGTTCATTTATGGGATATTTACCTTCTTTCTCTCTCTCTCTTTTTTCTTTAAAACGATTTGAAGCCTATGGTGGTCTCTGTTAGAGTTATGGGTTAAATTTGAGGGATCAGAAAAGAAGAAGAACTAAAATGATATAAGGAAGCATCTAAACCCCAAACCAAACTCACTGCCTCATTTTCCTACCCTGGGACAGCTGATAGATTTGAACTGGGGACCTTGCTTATCCTACGGTTCCACCCGGGCTCCTTAAGGAAGCATCTAGTACTCTTAAACTCTTAGAAAACTATATTCTTCATAGAAACTAAGACTTGAGGTCCATTCTCACAGTGCTGATTTCTAAGCTGTAGAGCAGAGCTCTACTAGTCCTCCTTGTGGAGGGTTTAGGTGTATGTTTTACATAGTCTATGAACATGCTGGTGGGGAGTCTTTCAAAAAGAAAGCGATCCTTACTGATCACCTATAAGATTCTATAACAGTCTTCCCTTCCCTATTTAAAAAAAACAAAACACTGTGTTTCAGAAAATGAGACAAGAGGTAGTCGGATATTAAATTATGGAATATGTATAGACCTCACATCTTCTTGTTTTCTCAGATTCCAAGAGCTGGACTTGAGCACAGAAGCCTTTTTCTATTTCGAATCTGTGAAGGAACAAGAGTGGTCCATGGCTGTAGAAAGGGGCTTGCATACCAAAGCCAAGTATAAGAAAGTAAGCCGCATTGCAGCTGCTTCTTTAGTATAGAACTCACTAGGAGTCATTCCATTGTGTGTCACTGTTTCCAACCGAACATTTTAACTTAATGCTTCCTCATGAAGCCTTTATATAAATCTCCTAGAAACAGAATTTCCGTAAACTTTTCTATTGTATATTTTCGTTGTTCGGGTAGCTTTTAGGAGAATTAAAGAAAAAAAATTGTACTCATATCAATAATTAGCTCAAAATAATAAGCTATTTGATAACTCATTTGTGCAGTTAAAGTTCAAGATTGAAATTGTTTGCTGACGTGTTCAGAAATGGATGTTTTACCAAAAAAGCAGCATGAAGCATGTGGTTGCATGGGGTGTGTTTTGGCGTCAGAGCAGGAATTTAAGTGAGTTCTAAAATTGAATGTGAATCGACTCTAGCAAGGTGGGCTAATTTGTTGGTTTTTAGAAGGCATGTGGTAGAAGCATTTAGCTGCCAGGAGAGTTATTGTAATTATAGAGTTACTATACTAAGCTCTTTGAATCAGTCTGAGTGACTTTTGTCTACAGTTTCTAAGCATTTGCTTAGGTAACATGACTCTGTAAGATGATATCCTTTCATGTATATCCCTGACCAATATGTACGTCAGATCGATTTTTAGCTCTAGTTCACAGAATGACAATTATCAATGTTGTCCCTCAGCAGGTGACTGGGTGGAGAAGTAGAAATGTGGTGTATACAGACAATGGAATATTATTCAGCCAAAATGAACCCTGAAAAGATGCTGAGTAAAACAAGTCAGACACAAAGGACAAATACTTACATGATCCCACTAGAATCTCTAGAATTAGGCATATGCAGAGAGACCAGGGTTTATTAATAAATAAATAAGAGGTGGGTGGGAGGAGGAAATGGAGAGGTAATGCTTAAGGTGGACTGAAGTTCTGTTGTTGTTGTTATGTGTCATGGAGTCGGTTCTGACTCATAGTGACCCTGTACAGGGTTTCCGAGGCTGTAAATCTTTACAGGAGTAGAAAGCCTCATCTTTCTCCCGCAGAACAGCTGGTAGTTTCGAACTGCTGACCTTGTGGTTTGCAGCCCGATTTGTAACCACTATGCTACCAGAGCTCCTTTTATGTATTGTACCACAGTGCAACTGAAAACAAAATGGCTTCAAATGGAATGTTGAAATGAAAAACTAGAAGGCGAGGTAGAAGGAACAGGCTGTGAGAGAAGCTTTATCTTGATTGTTTCAACGTTCTTTGTTGGCTACCCTTGGTAGGTTGTAGTTGTTAAGTGCCGTTGAGTTGGTTCTGCGCATGGGGACCTGAATAGGGTTTTCAAGGAGCAGCTGGTGAGTTTGAACCACTGACCTTGCGGTCCAGTGCATTATCCTGCAGCGCCGCACCAGGACTCCCTTGGTAGGTTAGAAAGCGATTAGAATAAGGAATCTAGGGACTGAGTACTCACTGTCCTTTTGACTTTGAACTTTTTTTGGTTGGAGTCAGATTACAGCTTCCCTAGAGAAATTTTGTTTCTTCTTTATGGGGTCCATAGAGAAATTAAGAGAATGTGGATTCAGGTTGTTAGGTTATGTCTTCTTGGTGGAAAACTATTTGTGGGAGCGTGCCAAGAAATGGCATTAATAGTCACTTTTATAACTCTCTGGCACTCAATAGGTTCAGCTAGTCCGCCTTGTTGGGATGATGCTCCTCATATATGCCAGAAAGGACCAGTGGCGGTATATCCGTGATGTTACAGCGGAAACAGTTGGAACTGGAATAATGGGGAAAATGGTGAGTGACTTTGGAAGTGTGGTTTGCTGTTATTTTATGTCCATGTGAAGTTCATCTGCTACTTGTGTCTTTGTATTAACTGTGATTTTCTTATGCTTGCCCACAGGGAAACAAAGGTGGGGTAGCTGTGAGATTTGTATTTCACAACACTACATTTTGCATCGTCAATTCTCACCTGGCTGCCCATGTGGAGGACTTTGAGAGAAGGAATCAAGATTATAAGGATATTTGTGCTCGAATGAGTTTTGTGGTCCCAAATCAGACCCTTCCTCAGCTGAACATCATGAAACATGAGTGAGTGGTTAGCTCTACTTTAGCCTTTGAATAATGGGCCTAAGAAGAGGTTTTATGTGATGAGAAACGGTAGAGTTATGAAGAGGAAGGGGCTTGGCTCACAAAGAAGAGGGTGTTTGAGGCAGAGGGATGAGATTTCATATCACTGGTAAGGTTATTTGTGTAGTGGCATGTTTAAAGTAGTGCTGGAGAGATCAATTTCATTGTTTTTATTGTCTATTTTTATTATAAATAGGATGTTCTTTATAAATGTAGTGTATTTTCACACAGATAATGTGTGGGTTTTGTTTGTTAAACCCTATCCCATCCCCCATGAAGTATTTTTGTAAACACACTATGGTAATTTTTTACAGCAATATGTAGAATACAGTTCGTATAGTGTGCTTATAAAAATACCTTGTGTGGGGATAGGCAGTTTGGCAAATAAACATAGAACCCACTTGTTATCTGTGTCAAAAGATGTAAAATAAAAGATTAAAAGTAAAAACCATCTGTTTCTCATCCTCCACCCTCCCTAGCCAATTCCCTTTCTGCAGAGGAAATCACCATTAGTAGTTTACTGTGTGTCCTTCTAGGTCTGTGCTGTCCAGTATGGCAGTATTGGGCATGTGCAATGTAGCTAGTCTAAATTAAGTGGTACCGTAAATGTTAATTATGCACGAAATTTCAACGACTTGGTAGAGAAAAAATGTAAAAGATCTCAATTTAAAAAAAAATGTTGATTACATGTTGAAATGATAACATTTTGGGTGTTTGGGGTTACATAAACTTATTTTCACTTTTTTTCTTTTTAAATGCGTTTACTAGAAAATTTGGAGTCCTGGTGTGGCGCTGTGGGCTAATGCGTCAGACTGCAAAGTCATTTGAACTGCAAGGTCGGTGGTTCAAGTTCACCAGCTACTCCTTGGAAACCCTATTACAGGGTCGCTGTGGGTCAGAATTGACTTGACAGCATTTAACAACAACAACAACAACTAGAAAATTTAAAATTGCATTTGTGACTTGAATTATATTTCTATTGAATAGCACTGTTCTAGAGTCTCTAATGTACACACACAAACACACACTTGTTATATTGTGTTGTTAAGTGCCGTAGAGTTGGTTCCCAACTCACAGTGACTCTCTGTTGGGTTTCTGAGTAGCAGCAGGTGGGTTTGAACAGCCAACCTTATAGTTAGTAGTCTAATGCTTATCCTACCACACCAGGCACAGTTATAAATCCCAATTTTCACTGATTTCTGATAATATAACAGGGTTGCATTATTCTCTATTATGTTGTTGTGAAGTGCCGTTGAGTCAGTTCTGACCCATAGTGACGCTGAATAGAGTTTCCCAGGAGTGACTGGTGAGCTTGAGCCACCATTCAAACAGCTTTGCAGTCTGCTGCATTAACCCACAGTACCCCACCAGGACTCCATTCTCTGTTATAGGATTGTGGTATTCTATTTCTTGTGGATCTTTTTCCAAGTCAGCATATAGGGATAGACACTAGACAGTCTCTGTGTCTGTAAATCATTAAGAGTAGAGCAGAGGATATTAAAAGACACCAAAGGAGCAACAGAATACCATGAGCGAGAAATCAATGAAGAATGGTATTTAATAATGAGAGACACAGAAATCAGTTGAAGAATGGATTGATTGAGTGGTAGGAATTGATTAGTTGTAAGGAAATTATTACTAGTGATTTAAATTCTGAAGGTGATTTGACATACATGGCTTGTGATGGGAATTCAGAGAGAAAGCAGAAGATTATTTAGGAGCATTAGAATCAATAGAGAATCATGTAATTCAGGAAAGAGTAGGGAAGGGTAGTGACAGCAGACGGTTTCAAATTATGTCAAGAATCAGAAATGTGATGTAGAATTCGGCTTCAACAGTCAAGGCCTTGAAATGACCACAAAGCATCCCCCAATTCCATATATTTCATACTCCAGGATTCCATGCATTTCATGTTGTAGTTGAAATTGGCAGTGACCATTTGGAACATGAAATACCAACAGGAGCCCATGCATGCCATGCCATCCTCCTCTTTCTTGCCTGGACCACTTGGTCTGCAGATCTGACTACATTGGAGAGCCCTGGATCACTTTTCTCTTGGGCCCTTCTTGAAAGAGCTGTCCTTCGGATCATACAGACCGTAAATAGAGAGCCTGCACGGCCTCTGCTCGGGGAGGCAGAAACCACTCACATTCTCGTCCCTTAAAGGACCTGGCTCTAATAGCCTGGCAACAGTTTGAAGCTAGTCCAGCAAATACACTTCATGCTTCCCAGCCAGTTAACTCCTTGGCTTCTGAATCTCATCCATGTATGGTGTTCCCCGTTCTTTGTTCTTTATTCTCTGGGGTGCCTTTTTCTCCCACCCATTTTGTAATTTATAGTGTGGATCAGTTACAGCCTTAAACCCCTTGTCTAATAGGGAGAGAAATGAATTCTTATCAGTGAATGACTCATTTTCCTTCTCTGTTTGTTTTTTTTTTTTAAGTTTTTATTGTGAATTCAGTGATAGTTTACATGGGAGAACATCAGTTTTACACGCCTCGTTTCATTGCAATGATTACAGTCTCCTCCGTGCATCATCATTCAGCAGTATTTGCTTCTATTCTGGTTGGTTTTTAAATGCTAATTACTATTTTTGTACATATGTTTCTTGATTCTCAGTGTTGTCATTTGGTTGGGAGATTTGAACTATAGACTTTGCATGCCTGATGCCAATGAGGTGAAAAGTCTCATTAATAAGAGTGACCTTCAGAGACTCCTGAAATTTGACCAGGTGAGCGCATTTTTCATTTTATCTCAACTTTGTTTATATTTATTCAATGCGTCTTTATCAAGAAGAGTTCAGAGATTTAAAGAAGTTAGAGAGAGGGTGGAGTTTGCTGGAGAACACTTCCTGGAGGAAGTGGGCCTTCAGCTATGTGGATGTGGTTTGGCAGATGGAAGGAGGGGAAACTCTTGTGTGATTACTTGGCAGGCTGAGCAACTGTTTGGAGGTAAAAGAGGGAAGTCCCGTGAGGGAATTGGGAAACACAGAAGTTGTTCTGGGATAAATAGCGTAGGATATGGGAACTGATTGATAAGTTGGGGCTAGCTGGTGTATAGATGTTAAATTGATGGGGAAAATATTGATGCTGTAGCATTTTTGTAAAACTTTGTTTTCCATATATTTTGAGGCAGCAAAGTTTCCTCGAAACCTGGCATGTGACTTGAATTTTTACTTCAGCAAGTGAGTGTTTATTGAGGGAAGACGGTTTTTACTTGTCTCAAATGTCTTTAAATCCCTGTGTGAAGCTTTTGGACCTCCAGTTATAGTAAAAATCCAGGTGTTTTGCAGTAGAAAGTAGAAAGTTTTACATTTCTAGTGATCCTTTCGTGGCTGTGTCTACCTTCATATGGAGGTTGACTAATTTCTTCTCAGTGTCTCCTCCTTTTGGCCTCCAGAAAGGATACCCTTGGACTAAATTCTGACTCTTACGTAACTCTGGCCAGATACGACGGGGACTTCAAAAAATCTGTGGAAACATGAAATGAAAAGAGATAGATAGGATTTTTTCCAAGACTTTTTGAAGCCCCTTTGTATTTGAAGAAGGCTATCTTTCAAAACAATTTGTAGCTATTCGTTGAGTTTGGCTTTTATAATTATGCATTTAACATCTGTGCACTTTTAAAATACTGTTCACTCAGAGTTTCCAGCCCGCCTTCAGGGAACTTGTGATTATTCAGATTTCATTTTTCCATTTTACCCCTGACCACCATTAGCAATAAAAATTAGTGATCTGCTAATAATGAGCACCCTTTGTGCCATGGGACTGCCAAGGTTTCTTTCATCAGTTCTGGAAATCTTAATCACGTACTCTCTCATGGTTGCGAGGGCTCTGGCGCTGGGAGCCTAGAATTGCGGATGATGCCTGATTAGCTGAAGATGGGATTACCCTGCTTATACGATGCTGCTTTTTCTCTCTAGTTGAATATTCAGCGTACTCAGAAAAAAGCATTTGCGGACTTCACGGAAGGGGAGATCAAGTTTATTCCCACTTATAAGTATGACTCTAAAACAGATCGATGGGATTCCAGGTAGCGTAACAAGAACCTTCTCGTGGACTAGGCTCAGGCCTGGCGTTTTTTTTCTGTCCACCCATAGTGAGGGGTAAGGGGCTGGGAACTATTTAGGTCATGTCGTAAACCCACTGCCATTGAGTCGATGGTAGAAAAGCCAATCGACTCAGTGCTGTTACAGAAGAGGGTTTTTTGTCTTGAATGGATTTGGCTGTGGTTGAGAATGTGCCCAGCAGAACACACACCAATTGAGCAGTTTCGACGTGTCCAGTTCAGTGCCACTTCCAGTTGTGTGGTCACCTTCCTTTTCATAAGCATGCACTCACTGCCCGTATCTAATCTCTCCTGTTGCTATTGCAAGTTTGATCTCTAATCTTAGAGAGCTCAGTGCTCAAGGCAGGCATTCTTAACTGGTTAGGCTAAGCTGTTGTTTAGTCTTAAGAAAACTTCAGGGGAGTTTTTGGTTTAAGGTTTAACAGAAGAGTTTTTAATGCATGCAGACTCACAGATGGCCTATCTTAGGAATGTGTTGTATGTCAGAGTTGCTGCTGATGTCATACTGGCTCCCCCCAGGACCTTAGTCTTTCCCCTGTTTCTTACCTAGTGCCCTCTTCTGGCTGTCCTCCTACTCACACCCCCTAATCTATTTTTCAGCTGTTTTAGTTCACAATACAAAAAGGTGAAAACACTCAAAGATCCTGTGGAAGATTCTTCTAGTACAGTGATTCCCAGTCACGAGTACTCCATTAGAATCTCCCAGGGAGCTCTTCAAAGTACTGAGGCCTGGAACCCACCTCCGCTCAAGGCAGAAAGTGTTGTGAACCATTGACTAAGAGGCCTTTGCTTTCCTCATTTCCCCGGTAGAGTGCCTCTGTCAGTAGGTTTTGGGTAGCTGTTCGTCTTCTACCTAAAACTCATCTCTTTGTTTACTATAGTTTCCTAATTGGTGTAGGCCAGAAGTTGGAACCAGAAAGGGAGTATTTTGCTTCTTTCCGCTCTGAGAGCACTGGGGGTGGGGTGGAGGGGATTCTGTTTTGCGTTGTTCTGCTCCAAGTCTGCTGATTAGCACTGAAAAGTAATGAGTACAGATCTTGCACACTTTGCCTTGCTTTTTCCACTCAACTGACTTGAAGCCAACTACAGAGCTATTGATACCTGTTTTGCATTCTGGCTCAGGTGTACAAGGTGGAACTTGTTCTAATAGGGTAATAAATAAATAGGGTTTATTATTCCATAGATCGAGTCCTGATGTGGTGCTGTGGGTTAATGCTCCAGACTGCAAAGCCATTTTAACTGCCAGGTCGGCGGTTCAAGTTCACCAGCTGCTCCTTGGAAACCCTATACAGGGTCGCTATGGGTCAGCATCGACTCAACAGCACTTGACAACAACCACATTCTGTAGAGCCGTGGGAGTCTATGGAATGCTGTACGCTCGGACTTGTGTGCCGAGATGTTAGTTTATCTCTCTTAGAGAAACTTGTCCAGAAAAGTTCAGAGGTTTCAAGGGATCTCTGCTCTTAATTCTCTCCAGAGCTTAGACCCTGTCTGGGAATATTGCTGTTGTTGTTCAATGCTTTTGAGTCAGTTCTGACTCATAGCGACCCTATATAGGGTTTGCTGGTGTGTTTGAACCACTGACCCTGTATTCCGCAATCAGGTGCTGATCCTGCAGTGCCACATCAGGAGTCCAGTGTAGGAATATAGTATTGGATTTTTAGATTTTATTCATTATGTGTCAGGAGTGAAGTATCTGTAATTCATAGAGTAGAAGTTAGATGCAGTGTTCAGAGTAGAATCCTTTCTGAGGATGTTTTAAAAGGATGTGTCACCTTTGGATCAGCACTGGACTACTACCGGAAAGGTCAACAATTCAAAACCCACCAGCTGCTCCTTGCAAACCCTAGACAGTGTTACTATGAGTTGGAACCGACTCAACCGCATTTAACAACATTATACTTCCCTCTGGTGATTGTTGATGATTGCATCCTAATTTTTTTTTTTTTTTGAATTATTTTGTGGGGGCATAGGATGAAGGAGTTACGGTTAGAACTATGGCTAGGTCTAGGCTAGACCTAGGACTTTATTCAATGTTAGGGCGATGGTTAGGACTGAGGTTAGTTTTAGGGAGAAGGGTTGATCTAGGGCTAGGAGTAAGGCCTGGTCTAGTTTTAGGGTTCCAGCTAATTTTCATCTATTTTTTTTCTTGAAATTTACATGATTTCTATTTTCTTTGTAAATTCTGTCACTACATTATTCTCTTTTTACTTTATGGGTGGATTTTTATTATTATTTCAAACTGGTATCTGTTTTTCTGTTTTCTGTCTTTTAAGTTTGTTTTACTCAGCGATTGTCGTCTCTGAGATTTTGTGGTGGTGTCGGATTGACATTGAATTGGTGACTGTGTATTGGTGTGTTCTCAGGCAATCACCACCTGTCTCCTGGTGGACTTGGTAGAGACTGGAATTGTGAACACAGTTCTCTGTGTGCTGTTTGTGTAGCGTAGTTCAGGATGTGTTCCCAGCCCTCCAGACGCAGGGGTTGGGAGCCTGACCCC